AGTCAGAACATGATATATTTAAATTTTACATACAACATACAGGTTGTGGTGTAGTTTCTATTTTGAAACTTAATTTAAGAAAGTCTTAAGAAAACCTTACATAGAGAGAATGAATACTGTTGATACTATATTCTGATAGATTATACATGAAGTGTGAAAGCAAGGAAAAAATCAAGATTCACATGAAGATAACTGAAGGAGATAGTTATGATTTGGCCGAAAAGGCAAGATGACAAGAAATTTTTGGATAAATGTCAATAGTTTAGTCCATCAAACATTTAAATGGAATATTTATTATCACTAGGTCTCTTGAATGAATAGAGAAGTCTAGGATAGAAGAGTAATGTGGATGCCTTAGTATAAAGGTGACATTTTAAAGCATCCTACTGACTACTTAAGTTAGCAAGAGAAAGAGTAGAAGTTAAGAATAGATAATGCTTGTATCAAGGGACCATAACAAATGCTCAGAAGTAATTAAGGGGATAAATAGAAGAGTAGCAAAGGATAATGAGAATGATCATTCCATCAAATGAGAGAATAAGATAAATGTTATAACTTACTGTATCAAGTACATGGGGACAGAGCAAGTCAAATAAAGACTAAGCATTGACCTAGAAGATAAGCAACACTGGTTCTCTAGAGATTTTTACCAAAAGATAATTTGGTGGAGCGATTGAGACAATCTGGTTGGAACAGATTTTTAATAGTATGGAAAGGTAAAAGTTGAATATATTAAATACTTATCCTGAAACTATGCGAATCGGAAACTCATAATGTTTTTTTTAGGAAGTAAGAAATAATGACTTGCTTGAATAATCACAGGAGAATGGTCAAACTAAAAGGATAAATAGAAAATATAAGGGAAAGGAAATACTAGCGGAGCAAATGATGCTTTGCAGTTCTGATTGTAGAGTATACATTAGGAACAAAAATAGTTCACCCACAGTCATAAGACTCTAGCGTCTATGGATAGAGAAATAGAAGCTTTGAAAATTGCCTGGAGAAGATTTGGTGGATTTTCTTCTTCTTGACATTAGTTATTTTCTCGTTAAGTCATAAGATTTGATTGCCAGAATGGCAAATATAGTGAAGTCAAAATCTGTCTTACATATTTTTCAACACCTGTCCGCCCAAGCAATGAAGAATTACTTAAATTTGATGGATATTATGGCAAATGGGTAATTTACTACTCCCCAGGAATATTCTAAAAAACTTCAAGTCAAATTCTAAACAAAATCAAGCCAGAGGGTTTCTTGAAAAATATGGTTTAATATTCACTAATAATAAAAGACTGTCTTAATTAAGTGGACTTTATCAGTAGGTTTTAAAGAATAGATAAATGAAAGAAAACAGTTTTTTTTTAACGTTTTACTTTTTTTTGCTCCAAAGGGTTTTTTTCCCATTCTTTCATGGAAAATGAGTGGAATTTGTGTAGTCTATTAATAGTAAAGTGAATTACATCTAACTCAATAAATTAAGTACTGCCTACCCTGAAATAAAATTAAAATCACTTTCACATTAAGAAACTTACATCTCCTCTAGGATTATCCCAGATTCTGAGTTGAGTGCAGTTTTACTTGTCTTATAATAACTTTCCCTTTTTGTCCTTGCTGTAGCTCTATATTCATGCTTTTGTGTAATTGAGTTTAGTTTTATCTGTTGTTGAACCTTATATGAATTGAGTCACACCATATATCGTATCTTGTGCCTATTTTATTGTTTGTGTGTTATTTGGAAACCCTGGCAAACTTTCAACCATGGACCAATCTTCCTGGTCTCTTCTCATTCAAATCTTTAATTCTTTTGAAATTTTATTTTATATATACTATGAAAATGGGACATTATTTAATTATTTACAGCAATTTATTTAAATTAAATAAATTTAAATTTAAATTTTAAATTAAAAATTTAAATTTACTATTAATTATTTAAAGTAAAGACAAACAACATTTTTGTCGGTGATATTTGTTTTCTGTTTTATTGAGATTCACTTTATTTATTTTGGCTTTAGGGGGCACACCTGGGGATGTTCAGGGGTTACTCTGGCTCTGCACTCAGGAATTACTCCTGTCAGTGTTCAGGGAACCATATGGGATGCTAGGGATCGAACTTGGGTCAGCTGCATGCAAGGCGAATGCCTTTACCAGTTCTATGATTGCTCTGGCCACTGGTGATTTTTGTTAACTAATTCTTTCTATGTCCAGAAATTGGGATGGATATCTTGTCATTGATCAACATCCTATATATGAATATTTTTTTGCTTGCTCCATTGCTGAAGCAAATAGCAGTGTGTAACAGTTTTAACATGATGTTAGCAAGACTATACCAAAATTTATTTGTAAGCTAAAAAGACAAGATAGCTGTAAACAAACCACTATGATCTATGGCTGAAGGCCTGTGGCAAACCGGGTCCACAGTGCTGGAGACCTCAGAGGCTGACCAAAGATATTAATATGACCAAACATTAGATGCATTGTCTTCCCCAGTTAGAAAATTAAATATAACTTTCTAGATTAGCATAGGACTGCAAAAGACTCATAGACCTAAGCAGATGTAAATTGCCCACTGCAAAATCTTAGCACGCTGAAAGTTATGTGTTCCCAGGCTCTCTGGATGGCTCTGTCTCACTGCCCACGGTGCTCTTGAGCCGCTGTGTGTGACCTGAATCAGGACAGCTGCTGGCTAAGGGCAGATGAAGGAAGAAATGAGAGCCAGGCTGGTCGATATCAACTGTGGTTTATTCCAATCCTCTTCATCCTGTCTTTCCTCTGGCTCCTTCTCTCCTGGCCCCAATCTGGAACCTTTCTCCTTCTGGCCCTGACGCTGGATATCTGGAGCCTGAGCTCTCTCACTTCTGACTCTGTTCTCCCCGAGCTTACATTCTTAGTTTATATAGCAATCACTAAGGGTGGTGACACAAAAGTGGGTTGAACATTGACAAATCAAATCAAAGAGAGGTAAGACCACTCCTCCAGGAGATTAACTCAAGAATAAAATCTCATCTAAAGAGATTGTTCCAGATTACTAGGAGATCTGCTCAAGGGTGGGATCCCAAGGAGGGTGTGTTCTTCCCTCAGCTAGTAATCTACTTAAATAGTTGTAGTAAATGTACTTCTAATATTTCTAGCAATGTCATTCTGAATTAGCACAGTAAGAAATATAAACTTACAGTTTGGTTCTTCCTGAGAACATCTCACTATACATTCTTCAGACCTCAGGCCAGGTTAGTCTTCCTAGCCCCAGCAGGGTCCTAGTCTTGTCATTATTTACTTTTGGATCATGACAGCATTTGTCCATGATCATGCCCTCAAATTATAGTTGAGTATTGTGGAACTTTGGCCTGGCCCTTTTTGATGCTAGGGTAGCTCACAGCTTGCCCTGGGTCCATTTAGTCCCTCGCTGGGAGCCTGCTTTTGGGTTGCTAGGAACTAAGAGCAACTGAGTCAAGAAAGCAGACGCCCAGGAGTAAATATTATTCAAAGTCAATCAACTCCCAAGTTAAGGCCCCTCCCGTTGATCGTCGATTTGCTCGAGCGGGCCCAGTAACGTCTCCATTGGAGACTTTGTTGTTACTGTGTCTGGCATATCGAATACTCTCGGTAGCTTGCCGGGCTCTCCGAGAGGGGCGGAGGAATCGAACTCGGGTCGGCCATGTTGGCCGCGTGTAAGGCGAACGCCCTACCCGCTGTGCTATCGCTCCAGCCCACTCCCAAGTTACAAAGCATAATATTAACTGTCTTCCTGTGTCCATACAGAAAGGACATTGCTTACAATACAAGTTCAGTATTCTTAGAGGGATCTGATCTTACAAGCTAACAGAATCTGATTAGGGAGAAAAGGTGATTAACTGGATGGGGAGGAGAGCACAGAGAAGAGTTTACAGAGTTTACAGATAAACAGAGGAATAGGGGTGACTCCAGAGCACTGGGATGGGTGTGGTCCCATAAACCTAAGCTACCTGAGGAAGAACAAAACAGTGTTATCCTACAGCCCACTGAATCCACTATTATTCAGCCTTAGAACTGTAGCACTGTCCTCCTGTTGTTCATCGATTTGCTCGAGCAGGTGCCAGTAACTCTCCTTTGTGAGACTTGTTGTTTGTTGTTACTGGTTTTGGCATATAGAAAATGCCAGTTACTGGTTTTGGCATATAGAAAATGCCACGGGGAGCTGCCAGACTCCCATGCAAGCGAAGTACTCTTGGTAGCTTGCCAGGCTCTCCAAGAGGGATAAAGGAATCAAAACCAGGTCGGCCGTGTGCAAAGCAAACACCCTGCCCTATCTCCTGTGCTATTTCTCCAGCCCATTCAGCCTTAATGAACATAATTTTGGAAGTTTTGCATATCTAATAAGTCAAGAATCTCATTGGGTTTTATGTTGCAATCATTGTCTCTTCATTTAAGAAAACACATGAGTAAGCCTATCCAGTTTATATCAAGAATTTTTTTACCATTTTTACTGTAAATGTGATTCAGTTATTGGAAGAAAAGGATATTATTTGGGAAAAACAATGTTAAATTTTCTTAAACTTGTAATTTATTACATTTTACTCTTCAGTAAAATGTTATGTAACTTACTAGTCCATCATTTCTTCTTGAGTAAAATATTTTGTTCTACTGTGCAGTATTTAATTAAGTTTAAGCACTATATGTATGTATATATCTGTAATAAATGTAAATGGCATAACATTTTAAAATACTTTCATATTATTTTTAGTACATAGAAATATAAATGGATCGTCCAAGTGGATCTATCAAATCTGCTAAACTCAGCCATTTCTTTTCTAAGTTTTCAGTTAAACATATTGGATTATATATAAATAAAAGATAACTTTAAGATTTTTCTAGTCTTTTATATTTCTCTTACGGTACTTACAAGGTTAACCAAAAATTAATGATGGTGGACTTGCATTTTTTGTACCTGATTGGAACAAGATATATTTTATCATTAACTATGACATTTGACATACTTTTGATATATTTATCCCTTTTTTTTGTTTTAGGGGAAAGTGCAAACACAATTCCACACTACCACAAATTATGCCATCAAGTTTCCCAATTTCAGGGAAATCTCAAGGGTCATTACATAAGAAATGCAATGGATAAGCCTCACCCTGAGAATACCACCTTCGAGATCATGGTATCTCCCGTGCCAGGTAAGTATTATTATTATTGATGATTCTAGAGTACAATCAGTTTGTGGAGGAGTAATCTTAAAACAGCTCTTTCTAGCACAGAGAGTATGCCTTGAATGTGATTGTAAAGGCTCCAATATAGTAACATGTAAAATATGAACAAGATGTAAAAAATATATAAATTACACGTACATATAATTGATGCTAGAAATGAAAGCTAGAATATTACATGATAAATACTTTTACACTCAAAGTATATTTTGCCCATATATATTTATTTTATTTTTTCTTTCGTTTTGGGGCTATACTCAGTTTTGCTAAAGCTTTTGAATTTAAGAATAACTCCTGGGCCAGGGGACAATGTGTGTTACCAGAGATCAAATCTTAGAGCAGATGAGCCAAGTACTTTATCCTATGTATTATCTCTCCTAACTCAAGTCTATTTTAACTATCAAGAAATATACTGTAAACTGATCATATATATCATGTTTTTAAAAATTTTTCACCACCAGTATTGTTTCTCCATTTTGCAGTTTTGTGAGCTAATATAGGTGAGGGTAAGGAGGTTTTTTTTTTAATTACTTCAGCATTAAATATTTTTAAACATTTAATCATTTCATTCTGGTACACTTTAGAGCTGAGTTTTTGTTCACTCCTCTTTTGTTAATCTTTGTTAATCCAACTCTAACAGAATTCACATTTCAGGAAATCTTGTGAACTAGTCAAGTCAAATTAATATTGTAAGTTCTAGAAAAGCTACACCGTATGCCAATTATAACAATGTAGTATTTTTATTTCTTCACTAAAGGAAAAGAGTTTGTGACAGAACCTTGGAAATATTTTCTTATGTACATTGAAAGAAAAAAAGTGAAACTGAATATGATTATTTCAGGCATAAAATTAGCCATGCTGCTTCTGAATTCTTAAGCTGTGGAATAAAATATACTTTCTTGAAAGACAAAAGTACTGTATGTATAACATCAACCTTGATGCTAACAATGTTATGAATAATTGTGTAATCAGACGGCTAGGGAGCCCCACGGTCTCTCTCTGTGTTTGGTGGTAAAACAACTAGGAGTGTTTCTCCTCTTCTTAGTCCAGCAACTTAATTAGCATATTAATTAACTCATAATTCTACATCTTAATATTAGTTATTTTGTATGGACACAGTAAGAGATACATTGACCTTGTAGGGTGGCTCTCTTGAGGACATCTCACTATAGATCTCAGACTACAGTTCTCAGGCCAGATTAATCTTTCCTAACCCTAGCAGGGTCCTAATCTAGATGTTGCTTTTTGGATCATGGCAGAATTTGTCCATGAGCATGCTCTGAACTTATAGTTGAGTATTATGGCGCTCTGGCCTGGCCCATTTCAATGCCAGGGTAGCTCACAGCTTGCCCTGGGTCCATCCAGTCCCTCGTAGAAACCCTGCTTTTGGGGTGCTAGGAAGTAAGGGCAACTGAGGTTTAAGTGGAGAGAACAGATGCCCAGAAGTGAATATCATTTGGAGTCAATTAACTCCAAAGTTACAAAATCATAGCATTAACTATCTTCCTGTATCTACACAAAAAGGACATTACTTTGAATTAACTATGCAAAGGACTTAAGGAGAAGAGAAAGGCAATATTTACAAGTTAACAGAGTCTGATTAGGAGATAAAGGTTATTGACTTGTTGGGGAAGAAGAGGACAAAGAAAGAGGTTACAAATAAACAGAGGAATGGGAGCACTGTGATGGGAGTAACCAAAAAACCAAAGCTCCCTGTAGCAAGGCAGAAAGGACAAAGCAATGTTGTCCTATAAATAATCATTTTCTTCTTCATGTAGTAATGTGCCCAAGCTGATTTCTCCTCCAGAATGTTGTAGAAAGCACCTCAATATTCAGAGGCCTTTAAGTTTGATTATATAGACTCAAGTTTGCTTTTGAGTTTTCACACACTCACAGAAATCTGTTTAGAGGCACCTAACTACTTAAAAGAAATATATTAAATTTGATATTCAAATCAATTCTTTAGAAATTGTCATGCACCATCACTGTATCACTGTCATTATATTGTTCATCGATTTCCTCGAGCAGGAACCAGTAACGTCTCCTTCGTCCTAGCCCTGAGATTTTAGAAAGTGCCACATTCGAGGCTCTTTCAGAGTCAGGAGAATGAGACGTATCATTGTTACTGGTTTTTGGCATATTGAATACGCCACGGGGAGTTTGCCAGACTCTGCCATGCGGGCAGGATACTTTTGGTAGCCTGCCAGGTTCTCCAAAGTGAGAACTAGATAATAAGATGTCGGCGCCATGCACCATAAAGAAATTTTATTTTCCCATATAGGTGAAAATGTTTGTCTATTTAATTATTCACTTATGCTTTGCTGGATTTGTTTTCTTGGACCTTTTTATTTGTTTCTTTTCATTATGGCTACAAACTAACCTTACTTATTTTTTTCTGCCCATCTTTATTATCTTAAAATGTGCAGATTGAGGCTGGATCCATAGCACAGTGGGTAGGGCATTTGCCTTGCACGCGAGCAACCCGAGTTCGATTCCCAGCATCCCATACGGTTTCTCGAGCACCACCAGGCATAATTCCTGAGTTCGGAGCCAGGAGTAACCCCTGAGCATTGTTGGGTGTGACCCAAAAGAAAAAAAAAATTCCAGATAGTAGGAGAGGGGAGTGAAAACAGTCTTTGAACGATCTTTTTATGCATTATATTTTTAAGCATTCTGAAATTCCATTTTTCTCAGGTTTTTCTCTTCCCATTTCTCATTTTTTTGTGTTTTGGACACATCTAGCAGGGTTTGTTGCTGGCTCTGGTCTCAGGATCACTCTGGGTGGTACTTTGGGGACCATATGCAGTACTGGGATTCAAATCTTGTACACAACTGCATTACTCGCTGTACTATCTCACCAACCCCACCAACCCCTATTCCTTTACTCTTGACCAATATTTCCCCCGACTTAGGACAATCATAGAGAGAATCATCTGTCTGGTTCCGCATGAACATTTCTATTTCCATCAACTCATATCTATATTTTATCATGTAAATAATCCATTGTGTATGTGAAGTATTTTCTCTTTTTTTGTCGCCTAAATACTTTCAAATAAAATTTTTCACAGTATGAAACAAAATGGAAATTATTCTAAACTTCTCATATTGCCGAATTTATTAATTTATGTCACTGCTCTTATATTTAATTCTTTCTTTCTTCTTTTCTTTCTTTCTTTCTTTCTTTCTTTCTTTCTTTCTTTCTTTCTTTCTTTCTTTTTTTAAACCTAGACACAAGTTTATTTTTATGTCCGAAGATAAAGATTCTGGACAAGCAGTTCCCTTTTGTGGGAATTAAGTCTCCTTTAATTGGCACTGGCTGAGTCGCCCCACCCCTTCCTTACCACCAACACTATACTCACCTAAAGTGAGTTAAAATATTTATTGGGTTAGAAGAGTAAGAATTCTTTTTTCTAAAATTTCACATAAAATAACTGTACAGTATCAGTCACAGGCAAGCAAGTCTAAGGCTCCTTTGTAACCACTAAATGTAGGAAAAACCACAAATAGCTATTGGTGAGGGGTTGGCCTTGGCTTCTGGCTCCAAAGGCCCCCTCCCCGTAAATTCAAATAACCCGCATCTGTGTAAATAAACATCTCCCAGCAAAGAAATATTTAGCACCAATAGGTTTTACACAAAATTAGCAGCAAAGGAAAACTTTAGACTTGTAATTGCACAAATAAAATATAAGCCATTAGGATAATTAGAACCTTTCTTCTTTTTCCCTAAAATAGGTAGGACAGTGTTGGGATACAAGTCGGCAGATGAGCACTGACATTGCTTGTGTGAGTCTCTAGGTATGATTTCCAGTACTGCAGAGAAATATTGGATATAATATGATCCATCTTTCTTTAGCATAGGAACTTACACTGAGTTTCCAAAACATATATATTTTGCGTCTTCCTTTCATGAAGATTTATAATGACACTTACGCTCTGGCCAGCAATGAACTTCTGACATTAGACATTTATTGGTGATAAATGCTAAATTAATGTAGTGTTTCTGCCAATAGGATTCAGGAAGTCAACAGATAAGCTTCCTACTTGGATAATACCAACGCAAAATCTCAGAGGTAATCCGTGAGTAGCAAGGTAGTGAATTCAGCAGACAAGATAAAGGCTGAGTTATATGGCTTTTAAAAATGTGTGTCCTCAGTTGCTTTTCTCCAGTTTCTGCCATCACCACCATCTCTTAAAAGCCACACTAAGCTGTCTATCTTGAAGATTCTGTTTGTGTGGGAGCAAATATCCAAACACTTCGGAACATTTGGTGTTGTCTACTCCATCTTCTTCCTTCTGAGTTCTTGAAATTAATTCTATCTGAACACCCTTCCTGCTTTGGAAGTGATGAAGAAATCATGCCAGTTTAACCAGGTTTGGGTTATTATTCCCAAATAATTCAGAAACTCACTGCTTACAGATCCAGCCTGGTGTAAATTGAAGAAGCAGGAAGACGTATTTTCAATTTGTCAGCTGGAAATTTGCAAGTTGTAACTGGAGAAATGGATTCTTATATTCCAGGATAACAGGAATTAAAAAAAATGTTCTTGTTCTTCTCATCTGCATAAATAGCTTGCTGATCATCTTGGGTCACTGATGGAGAAAAAAAATTTTTTTCAACAATTTCTTGTCTCCTGTGGAATCTCAAATCACAGAGTTTATCCTACCACACAAGGCAACTTACAAAATCTTCTCACTTCCGGGTGAAAAGTTAGAGCACCTGAAATAGAGTTTGAGGAAACTGACCTAAACTCTGTTCTATTGATTTGCAGACCCATGTTCTTTCACATTTGCTATACCTGTTGTTATGCGTCTCTGTTTCTGTCTTTATGGTATTTCAAGACCCTTCAAAATATTGCCCCATCTTACCATTTAGCTATTTTATTAGTCTTAAAATAGTCCCCATCTTATAACCAAAAAGTTGGCTTCTTACTTTACTTTAACAACACATCCACTGAACTTCCTATTTTTCTTTACTCAT